CACTCAAAGTTGTTTGGAAGCATATACTCCTATCAATTTTACACAGGACACGCAAAAGAAGTACTTTGACCTTATTAGACGGGGGAAGGTAAAGAAGCTAGGACATGAGGGTAGAGTTTAAGAGAGTAGAATGCGTTTAGGAACGTGAAATATAGGAACCTTAACGGGAAAATCCATGGAAGTAGTGGAAGTTATGGTAAGGAGAATGATAAGCATTATGTGCCTACAAGAAACTAAGTGGGTTGGTTTTAAGGCAAAGGATCTCGAAAACTCATGTTTTAAACATTGGTATTCAAGCACAAATAGAATGAGAAATGGTGTTGGCATCATCATGGACAAGACATTGACACAAGATGTTGTAAATGTTAAGAGGGTCGGAGATAGAATTATGGCAATCAAGATTGAAATAGGACAAGAACTCATCAATGTGATTAGTGCGTACGCACCTCAAGTAGGATTGGATACGAGTTTGAAGGAGAAATTTTAGGAAGACCTTGGAGACTAGGTGCAAGGAATAGCTCAGACGGAGAAGGTATTTATAGGAGGAGATTTAAATGGACATGTAGGCAAGGAGACGGACAACTATAGAGGTTTTCATGGTGGTCATGGTTTTGGGAAGAGAAACGAGGATAGGAAAGCCATCTTGGATTTTGCAATGTCATACAATCTCTTCTTAGCCAACACCTTCTTTAAGAAGAGAGAATAACATGTGATCACCTATAAGTGCGGGTCGTCAAAAACACAAATAGATTTTCTTCTAATGAGGAAGAGGGATCATATAACTTGTAAGGATTGCAAAGGTAGAGAGCTTGGCTAATCAACATCTCTCGTTGGTGATGGATATACCTATCAAAAGAGAGAGAAAACAAAACAAGACCTTGAAGTGCCCAAGGACTAGATGGTGGAATCTAAAAGGAGAAAAACAAGCCATCTTTAAAGAGAAAGTAATCACCCAATTTGTTTGGGATAGAGAGAGGGAAGCTAGCCAAATGCGGGATTCCATGGCTAGTTGTATTCGAAAAGCAGCAAAAGGGGTATTAAGAGAGTCCAAGGGTTTTGCTCCACACCAAAATGAATCTTGGTGGTGGAAGGAGGAGGTACAGACAAAGGTTTAGGCTAAAAAGGAATATTGTAAAACCTTATATAAGGATAAGACCGATGAAAACGGTGAAAGGTATAGAAAACTGTGAGAGAAGTTAAGCTAATGGCTTTTGACGATATGTATAAGTGACTAGACACCAAAGAGGGAGAGTTGGATATCTATAAACTAGCTAGAGAAAGGGAAAAGAAGACAAGGGACCTAAATCAAGTGAGGTGCATTAAGGATGAGAATGGAAAGGTTCTTGTTACAGAGAACACGGTAAACGACAGATGGATAAGTTATTTTCATTATCTTTTCAATGAAGGACATGAAATGAGTACTTCTTTAGGGGAGTTGAGTAACTCAGAAGAGTGTAGAAACTACTCATTTTACCGCCGAATTAGGAAGAAATAAGTGGTTGTAGCATTGAAAAAGATGAAGGATAGAAAAGTAGTGGGCCCAAATGATATAATGATTGAAGTATGGAAAGTCTTGGGAGAGACGAGTATAACATGGCTCACAGACATTTTCAATAGGATTTTGAAAATGAAGAAGATGCCAAATGAGTGGCGAAAGAGCACTTAGATGCTTATCTACAAGAATTAGGGCGACATACAAAATTGCATGAACTATAGGGGTGCGTTTGTTGCACTAGACTATCTCAGACTGGACTAGCTTCAGAGGCTAAGTTAGACTGGTTTAGACTAGACTATGCTGGATTGACTTAGTGAAGCGTTTGGTGCAGTGTCGGACTAAAAAAAGGATAACAACAAATTCTAATATTATATTTTTTCATTCATATTTTATTATTATTTTATATTATTTAATACATATTTAGTAATATTTTATTACAACCACAGTTTATTTCTTTTTTCATTCTGGAAACCTCCTATCTCCATTCCTAATTTTTTTTTTCCTCTGATCTTCCTTTTTCTTCCTAATTTTGCTCCGACCCTCTCCCTCTCTTCATCCTTTTCTTTTCCTTTCCACTCTCTCCTCCCTCAAAACAGCGTCATTCATCACCCCCCTTTTGTTCTTTTTTTTCCCTTTCCTTTTCTTTGATATTGTGATTCCTCTAAATTATTTATGGCACCACAAATTCTGATTTCCCAACTTCAAATCCCACGGAAAATTGAAATCGTGCAGAGGCTCATTTATGCAACGCCATGGATTTCACAACCACTCTGTTTCTCGCCCCTCCTCTGATTTTCTTAGAAAATCTCTTAATTTTCTGGGAAAAATGAAGAATTTTTCTATTGAGTTTGTTGTTGTTATCGAATTGATTTTGTTTTTCTTCAAATTTTGGTGGTTGGATGTTGAGAATTAGGCGATGAGTGTGGTGGTTTCAGATTTGGGTATAGGTGGCTAGAGTTGCAGAGAAGCAGACGACTTGCAGCGTGAAGACGATGCAGCGTGCAAACTTTGTATGCAGCTTTAGAGATGGGATTAGCAATCCTATATGTTTTGGGCGGCGTAACTAAGAACTAGTAGTGAAGGACTTAGTCAGCACGAGTCCGACTTAGTCCCATTAAACTTAATCCTTGTTCCAACCAAACACGGATTAGAAATCCCAGCTAAGCCAATCCAGTTCAGTGAAGCTTAGTGAGGGCAAACAAACACCCTCTAGGGGTATTAAGTTAATGAGTCATACAATGAAGCTCTAGGATAGAATAATTGAGCATAGACTGATGCAAGAGATACGGGTCTCGGACTACCAATTCGGGTTCATGCCAGAGCGCTTAACCATGAAAGCAATCTATCTCTTACCAAGATCGATGGAAAGATATAAAGATATGAAAAAGGATTTGCACATGGTCTTTATAGATTTGGAAAAGGCTTATGATAGGGTCCCAAGAGATATTCTTTGGAGGATTTTAGAGAAGAAAGGAGTATGAGTAGCATATATCCAAGCTATAAAAGATATGTATGATGGAGCAAAAACTGTCATAAGAACTCACAATGGACAAACTGAAAGCTCCCCTATAACTATAGGGTTACATCAAGGCTCATCTTTAAGTCCTTACCTTTTTGCATTGATAATTGATGAGTTAACGGGATATATTCAAAATGATATTCCTTGGTGTATGTTTTTCGCAGACGATTTAGTGTTGATAGATGAAACTCGGGAAGGAATAAATGCGAAACTTAACCTTTGGAGAGAAGTGTTGGAATCTAAAGGTCTTTGCCTAAGCCGGTCAAAGACAGAGTATATGAAGTGCAAGTTCAGTGCAAACGGGAGGCTCAAATGAGTTAGGGGTGAGAATTGGAGATCAGGAAGTGCCAAAGAACGACCGATTTCGTTACATAGGATCTATCTTGCAAAAGAACGAAGAGTTGGATGAAGACCTCAACCATAGAATACAAGCTGGATCGATGAAGTGGAAGAGTGCATCCGGTATGTTGTGTGACCGTCGTAAGCTCAAGGGAAAATTTTATAGGACGGCAATGCTTTATGGAATGGAATGTTGGGTAGTGAAGTATTAACACGTACATAAAATGGATGTAGCGGAGATGAGAATGTTTCGTTGGATGTGTGGGCACACGAGAAAATATAAGATTAGGAATGAGGATATCTGAAGTAAAGTAGGAGTAGCCGAAATTAAAGTAAAGATGAAAGAAAATCAGTTACGATGGTTTGGACATGTGAAACGAGGGCCTACTGACGCATTTAAATCTAAACGCCCAAAATTCTTCAAATTATCTCATATCTCGAAACACTGTAGAAAAGAACTGTTGCAGTATTGGACTCTTCTGCAACTGTTAATTAGAAACTGTTAAAAGGAAAAAAAGACAAACTGAAGTTGATATAAGGTGGGGGCCCTGACTAAGATGTTTGGATAAAAAGGCATGTTGGATTCAATCAAGCTTTTCTAGTTCAGCTCCGATGTTAAATCACAACTACATTTGAGATATACAGAAAAGTATGGCTTGATAAATTAATGTGTTAGATTAAATTTATAAATTATGTAATGTGTTACAATAAAAAATAAACACGTTAATTAAAATTTAAGTGATAATTCAACTCAACAACCGCATTTTATCATTTATAAAATATGATTTAAATAGATGATTTATTTAGCATTACCCTATTATAATATCAAAAGATGGATTTGTAGCACCTATTTTTTGTCAAAGAGATGGCTAAGAGATTGGCAAACCTTAATTATTTGGCTCTATTGTGACAGGTAGACTTGGATGGTTGGATTGCATTTGGATTTCGAATTTGTAGATTGTAAAATAAATTATTATTTGTCATTAGTAACTAACACTTAAGCGTAAGTATTTTTTTATTTGTAAGTGAGAGTTTTGAATTTCGACTATTATAAATAATGAGTTCGATACGTAATTATAAAAATAACTTACATGTGATTTAGAACAAATTCGCAGCCTCCTATATACAGTTGTATAAAAAAAGTACTGAATGATCATTTTAATTTTATAATTTCCACTAGAAATTCCAGTTAACTAATTAAGAATGAGCCCTACCATTGTATGTGAGACCTGCCTTCATATTTTTTATCAAGCAAAATAATTCTTAGACTAAAGGGAGAGAAGGGTTTGAACTCAAACGAAATGAGTTAAAAATGAAAATCTTATCAACCAAGACAATGCACCACTTAACATACACACATGATATATATATATATATATATATATATATATATTAGTGTTAGCTTTATGTGTCAAAACAAGTAAAATTCTGAAAATTTGTTTTATAGAAAGAAAATAAAAATTCTGTAAAGTCACCAGATGTTCAAGGCTTAATTGCACTTTCAAAACATGATCATATTATCTATACATTTTGTAAGTTAACATATTCAAACGCGTCTTATCCATTTCAGCCATAGATTCCTAATCAACACACTACTACTAATCACTCCACCTAAGCTGTTGTCAATTCTATTCCAAACTTCATGGTGTAGATCACTATATATTTCTCTTCGTAATGTCCTGGAATCCTAGAATTTTCTGTCATATTTAGTCAATTTCGAAGTATTACTTTTCAAGAATGATTTAATTTGGAGCTCTGAGGAGAACATCAGAAGGTTACAGGTAATCGGGTGCACTTATTGATCATTACGGTTCATTTAGTTATTGCACAAAAAGAATGATAAAAACAGGAAAAGTCCGCACACCTGTTTTCACTTTCTATGCATTCCTGTTTATCTTGGTCTCTTCAACCCTAGTCTTAGGTTTCATCATCCATCTTCCTAAAATCGTCTGCAAGAGAAATGGAAACATGAAGATCATAGTTATGTGCAGGTAGTTGAATCTAATTTTCAACTGACCCGCCGAAAATAAAAAATTGAAGCTAATAAATTTGTTAGCTTCGCCGGTTAAGCTGGTGGATGGATAAGTTCAGCAGACCCGTACATATATAACTATTTTCCACACACACACACACTTATAAATTTAGGTATTCTTTCAATGATCATTGTTGTAAAAACCACTCTAGTATGAAACCAATAAATCCCTCAATTAAATTGCTATCATTTTAATAAATAAGAATAAGCACGTTTATTAATGATTAAGTAATAAACCAATCATTAATATTCATGTCTTTTAGTTTTCAAAATTTTGTCTATAAATTTAGTCTCCCTAACCTTACCTCACATATTAATTTGTTATTCCTAAAAGTAGATGTCTTAGTGATTACAAATTTATCTTAATGGGTTTAAAGTATGTGTGTGTGTATATACATATATATCGCCATGTGTGTGTATATCATATATATAGCCAACAAATGGCAATATGCAGGAGACTAGTGTTTAACAGTTTTTTGGGTATTTGATGAACGCACAAATGGTTATAGGCATAATTTGATATGAAAATTGGTGTGCTTATACACATAATTTGTCTGACCAATTTTGTTTCTATCTAGCTTGATAATCCTTGAAAGAACTAAATAAATTTTAACGTTTCCGATCATTAAATTGCATTGTGGAGTAACCTTATAACTGCAGCATTTGTTAAAAATAAAAAAAAAATAAAAAAAATCCTTTATTCTTTTGGAAATTCAACTGTATAATGTTACGCTTTCCTATGTGATGGTATATATACTTGACGCTATATATTGTGAACACAAAGGTAATATAGGATTGTAAAAGTTGTGGATGGTGCTGCTTTTCTACGATACAAGCGATATCAGAAGACATAAGAAAGAGTGTGTGCTCTTAATATATAACTGAGCTATAAATCATTTGCTTGTGTTTCATATTAAATGTTAAGTTTGTGCATATGGCTTAATTTCATAATGTTTCTAATTTCGTGGGATATATTCAATTAATTACATCCTTCATATTCTTAGGGTTCAAATATTGCAAATTCTGAGGGTTTAAAAGCATGTTTCAGATTCCAAGGCAGTACTAATGGATTTCGAACCTCCATTCCAACAAACCTGGAAGGCAATACTCTTACAGAATTCCAGCCATGAAGCATTATTAAAAAGTCATGATTATGACAAGCTTTCTCTTGCTGAGGAATGTGAGCTGCCTCTGATAGATCTTAGCCATCTAAATTTGGGTCACCTAGAGAGAGACAAGTGTATGAATGATATCGCTCAAGCTGCAAACCAATGGGGTTTCTTCCAAGTTGTGAATCATGGAGTTTCACAAAAAGTTATAAAGAGCATGCAATATGAGCAAAAGAGGCTATTTCACATGCCCTTTGCAGAAAAGGTTGAAAAGAATTTCTTGAATTTATCCAGCAACTGTTACCGCTGGGGAAATCCACAAGCTACTTGTTTGAGGCAGTTCTTATGGTCAGAAGCATTTCATATATCACTCAATGAAATTCCAACAATGAATGATCTTCACAAGAGTCTCAAGTACGTACTTTTCCTATTTCACCTTTAAAATTTTCTTTTCACCTTAATACATTCTGAAAAGAAAAAGGAACAAAAATATATGATAATATATTTGTTAATTAATTAGCTAGGCTTATGACTACAAGAAACACAATAGCAGTGTAGATGGTTACTTAAATTTCCGAGAATGAAGATGACGTGGATAATGTAAGAATGGTACTTTGTTTATGTATAGAATAAGCATATACCCTTGATAATGATATCTTGTTAAAATTAAGAAAGCAACTCATGCTTTTAAAATTGTCGACTAATATGCATTTAGTTACAAGAAGTTTCATACAAAGATTAACATGTTGTAACTAAATAGTCACTTTCTAGTAGTCATCATACACTTTGAAGCTTGAACTATAAATCTTAAGTTTACTTCTATGATTAAGGATTTTTATTAGGTCCCATGAGATTGTCACTTAAAAGGAGTCATTTGCAAATGCCTTTTACATATCTTTGCAATAATCATATAGTGCATTTCTTATCTCTCATATCCAATTAATGTTTTGTAGTACATTCTTTCTCGTTTGCCTCAAATCCCTTGAAATAAAAAATCACTCCCTTAAAATTAGTTTAAACGATTTAATATATATCATGTACGTATACATAAACGCTTTATAAAAACCAAGTAGACGATGTATATATTTAGATTCATATGCTTTTAGTAGGTATATTTATATTCATTTTTACAATGCTACATGTCGTAACAATTAACATGGGAAGTTTTGGATTAACCTATTGGAAAATATAGGACAGATGATCTTGGTTTTTATCAAGTAACAACCATACCGATTGAATTAAATTTTAATACGACATTATCGCAATGTTTTATTTATTGATATATTATAATATATGTGAAAGACATAATTGATATACCGTGAATGTAGAATATGAAATTAATAAATTGCTTATAACACGAGTCATTTGCTTAACATACCAGTGGAACTATTACACATAAAAACTCTTAGTCTTGAAGGACCTAAAAGCATACGCATTGCCAATTGGACCATATATTTTCATTGGTTAGTAAAATTAGTTATTTTTAGCAATATTATTGAACTCTAAACTAAACTTCTTGCGTGAGTATTTTTCTAAGATTTCATAATATCTACATTTGCAAGACACCAGTGACCAAGGAAAATTAGAAAAATCCCAACCCCTACTGCAGCATATCTACTGTTATGTTTGTGGTCTTTGTGGTGGATTTGTATCGTGGTGCTTGCACTATAGTATGGAGGTGCTTCTATTTGTGGTAATCTTGGGAGTTTAATTTTATGTATTTTTGTGTGAATTATCTTCAGATCAATGTATTGGTGTCATGCCCTGATCCTGACGTACGTCCAGGATCGACACTTAACGTCACCAAGTACCTGTATATCTAACATACCCCGCCTTTGGGATATGGACAAAGCACAACTCAAGATTCGAATTGCGTAGTAATATTTTGTTTACTTTATGGCTGCATCTAACTTTTTTGTTAGACTGCCTACGTACCCTTCAATGGGATCAAGCCATTCGTAGTTCACCATTTGTTAAACTCTAAACTTTTTGTAAAACACTTCCTAGCAAAAAACGTAGAGTACCACACTACACATCAACCATAAGCCAAACAAGAGTTGTCATCTTGCCATTCAAACACACATACGCTTTCCAACACCATTCCACAATCACGTCAATTAATAACTCATACAATACACCAAAATGCAAGGCTAGAGCGATACAGTTCGGCTGAAGCCTACATCTATGAAGCTTTCTCAATTTATATCGAATCCAACGAATCAACGAAGTCAAGGATGTGATTTTGAACCACTCAACGAAATCCAACAACATCAAGTTTTAGACCACTCAACGAAACCAAAATACTAAGTGGGATTTCGGACCACTCAATGGAATTGCGGAGTAGAAGGGATTCCGGACTTCTCAACGGAATCCGAGTGGATACAATTCCTGACCACTTAACAGAATTGCGGAGTACAATGGATATTAGACCACTCAACGAAATTGCGGAGTACAATGGATATCGGACCACTCAACGAAATTCCAAAGCAGGATACGATTTTGGACCACTCAACGGAATCCAGACGGAGCAGGGAACCGGACCACTAAATGGAACCTAGTTTCGGACCACTCAATGGAATCGAGCAGAAGTCCAAGAAACATAAAAATTGCTCGAAGAAACAAGACATGAATCAAGTTACTCAATTCACGAAGGCTCAACGAAATGAAACAAGCACAAGTACTAAATTTAGAACGAATCAAAGAAGTAAGAAATGAAACGATATTGAAGCAATGAATCCCCATGACAATAGGTTAACGGTCCATTGATAGCCTTCACATTTAACAAACAATCCAACATGCATTTCAAATAACATTTCACAAATATTCCCAATGCGCAAGTCAAATCACATTTCATAATAATAGATCGATGGCTAATTATTAAAAATCACATTTTAATAAAAATCACATTTATAAAACCAAGTCATATCCAAAAAGGATACTAAAATACAAAATCAGGGTAATAACCATATCACATATAGTAAAGTCACTCATCGAGATAGGTCCGCAAAGCCTCACTGAGTCTCTAGTAATACTAATTTTAGAACTTAAGGACGGTTACAAACATCTAGATCAAAGTCAACCCCAGTAATTCAATTCATCAAGATCTAAATGTTGGATTTCCGATCTGTCAGTTCCTAATGTCTTGAAATATTACGTACTATAATGTACTAAAGTTTTGTGCTGATCCAACGGTCGGATCGTCGATTTATATAATGATCAAGTGGTGTACCATAATGAAACTAGGAAATGAAATTTAACTTTAAAACATCGTCAGCCCACTGGCCACACACTGCCGCATGTGCCAGTTTTCGACGAATGGAAACTTAATTTTCCGACAAACTCCAAAAATTATCAAATTTCACAGATTTGTAGAACACAACAAGGGGAAGAACTTTTTATACTTGGGCCGAAGTCCAATTCACCTGGAAAATAACTGAAATTGACCTCGATTCGTCAGAACCCTAGAAATGGGTGTTCTTGATTCGACTCCAAAACAAGCTTCGACGCCTCAACCAACTTATGGGCATTGTTCCTGAGGTTGAAAGGAGTTGATTGATGGTCGTAATTGACTGTAATACTTTCAGGAATGGTGAATCACCGCCATAGACCTCTCGACACCACTGACGCTATTCTTCGAGAAAATGAAGTCAATCCTTGTCGAGTTTGGGTGAAAATGGAAAAAGGATTGATTGGATTCGAAGTGACGATCAATATGGCACTGGTACCATCATCAACGATGGCCATAATAGGGAGATATGGTTAGGTTGAGTCGGCAGGTCGAAGGGGGTCTGGGTTTGGCTGGTTCGCCCTCCCCTCATTTCCCTCATTTCTCTCCTTTCTGATTTGCTAGTTTCTCCCCTCCTATCCCTCTTTTCTCTTATCTTTTTCCCAACTTAGCAGTACATGTGGCACCTAGATTGCTGCTCTAGCAAATTTGGAGCCTTCTAGATTAGTGTTTAATTACTATTTTACCTCTGCATTTAACAACTAATATCTCCTTCGTTAAAACTCTGTTTCACGAACGGTTTTCGCCTACACACTTGTGAACTCGAGCTCTATCCAAATATGTAAATAAAAATGACAAAACATATAGGAATTAAATACGTCCTCGAAAAGTCCGTTTAGTTCATTAAGGGCGTTTTCATCCTTTTACTTATCGAAAAAAAAAACTATATGCCGTAATTATAAACGCATCAAAACTAAGAATACGAAATATGTAATTTTAAATAGTGAAATCCAGGGAAGGGATTTCACAATTGGTCATTGGAGAATATATAGACTCATATGATATCATGTGAGAGGGCTAGAAAAAAAGAAGAATAGTATTTAGAAAATTACTAACCAAAATACGATAATATATATCCAAAGTAATTAAAAGTTAAAGTTAGCATCTCATCAACAATCTTATCAATTTAAAATAATCATAACTATTCTAGACGAGTTTTCATATTTTGAAACTATTCCATGATGTCATCTATACTATTGAAAGAATTAGTAAACTCATTAAGGATAATAAAAATTTACAAATCCTAGTACTCAAAGTAAGAGATAGAGCAGAGTAGAGTAGAAACATATAAAAGTTTATAGAAAATAATAGAGTTTTACCAACCTTATTGTTTGCTTATTCAATAGATTTAGAATTGGGAATGGTAAAATACATATGAAATTTCAAAAGAAGAGGGGGAATCGTTAGCAATGCAACATGAAAGAGATTAGATTGTGAAGGAAGAATTTTTTTTTTAAAATTAAAACTGAATGATGGGTTTTAATTTATAGGTTATGAGTCCTTCTCTCTTAAGGTCCTCATTTGAGGACTTGTGAGGACTAAATGCGTAATAGCAACAAGATTATATTAGTTTAGATTCAATAGCTAAAAATATTTGGCAACTTAAAACAAAACAAAAAATTGATTTTTCCTTTGGTTCATAGATTTTAAGTTGGTTTTGGTTTATTAAGTTGTTAAATATTTCAAGCCTTTAAATTTAAACTAATATAATCTTGTGACTAATATGCATTTAGGCCTCACAAGTCTTCAAAATGAGAACTTTAGGAGAGCAGTACTGATAAAATATACTTAATTCTGCGATAGAAGGACAATGTGTTGGAATGAAAAAAGAGAGAACGCTTGAATTTGTTTGAAGCATTGCCTAATAAAAGGGTTTGCAAAGCAATAGAACTAGGTGTATACTAATCTTATTTTTTTCAAATTCATGTTAGGTCTGGATCATCTTGATCCCTTTATACCTCCGCCAGTGAAGAAACATATCATTAACTGGGAATGAGGACTTTTTGTTAGCTATATAGCCTATACGTGGATGGATAAAGTACGTTTTTTTTAGAATCCATCTGCATTATATGGATAGGGATTGTAGGGTAAAGAGCACCTGAATATGTCGCATTTCGTACTTGAAGGGAGACATGTTGTCATTTGTCAATCCAGCAGGGGGACGTCTAACCCTACTACGTTCTTGCAGGCAGGCACCATCCATTGCCTGGCCTGCCACATGCATGGATCAGTCGTTATCACGTGATTACCACATATGCATAACATGCATGAATGTCTTTGGCCCGACAGGCTTTGGGTAGATTTCAATAGAGGTCATTCACAAATTCGAATATTCATACTTTACTTAGCTTGAGAAATACAATATTTGTGGTAATTTTAATCGGGTATGCAAGCGAAGTAAAGTACGAATGTTTGTACTTTATGTTGCTTGCATAACCTATTTGCCATTCACAAATATTTTAAACCCGTGTTTTTGTTACTGTGGTAATTTCATCCAAAAATATTTTAAATATGTGTTTGTTTTATTGATTGACATCATGGATTTTGTCAGTGTGATAGAGCTAGCGTCACCTGCTAAAAAAAATTCATATGTTTCTCAACCGTAACTATATCACATGAGCTAACAAAATCACGTGAAAATGCTGTGCTCCTACCCCAAGTATTTTGTCGCCACAATATGCTTATGATCATAGACTAGTAAATTATTTATGGTCCGTTTGATAATCATTTTAATTTTTATTTGAAAACATGTTTGGTAACTGTTTTTAGTTTTTTTTTAAAAGAAAATTGAAAATCAAAACCAAACTATATAAATTTTGAAAGCTCAAAAAAATATCTCTCAGTTTTTTGTTTCTGTTCATTGGAATAAAAATTGAAAACATTAACCAAAAGTTTTTGGTTTTTAGTTGTCAAAAAAGCAAAAAATGTAGATGAAATGGTTATCAAATGACCTTAGTTTATTATTTCACCCAATTTTTATTCCATGTTTGGTTAATTACCGTCTTATAGGTCAACAATTGAAGCATTCGTGAAGATGGTATCTGGTTTGGCTAAAAGCTTAGCTGAAATTCTGGCACAGCCTTTGGGTGTCAAATCGATTTACTTTGAAGAGAATTGCCCACCAAGAAGTAGTTATCTTCGACTGAATAGATACGCTCCACGTCCGTTTCCTTCGCAAGTGTTTGGCCTCGTCTCGCACACTGATACCGATTTCCTAACTATAGTTCACCAGGACCAAGTAGGAGGTCTGGAAATATTTAAAGATGGAAGATGGATGGCAGTTAAACCTAATCCTGAAGCTCTCATTGTCAACATTGGGGACTTGTTTGAGGTAATATTCATATATCTTTAAGTTATATTGTTCAAATTATACTTTGTATAACTTAAGAGGGGTAAAAGTTTCAGTTTTAGTAGGGTTTTTACAAGGATGATTGTTGAAGGATATTAAAAACTAAATGATGTGATTGTTGATAATTGAATTATTATTTAAATGTTGATTTTAACATGTTTATGTTTTATTGGTGGCACATCATTTAGTTTGCAAATTTAATTTAAAATTTTAGTTTCTCTAGCTTTACCCTTACTTTTATTATAAAAAAAAAAGAATATATAACTGTATAATCGGATTTTAGATATTGGGATTAGGGTTTGACTCAATTTTTTTTTTTTAAAGTTAAATAGGAACTTTGATATATATTAAAATTCAACATATCAAGATCTTGCTTTGCGCAAATTAGAATGTTTTTCGAATATATATATGGGTATTTCTCATACATATTGGGGAAATAGTATCATAAATAGGTACTACATATGTTCCAATTCCAGCTTCAAAAAATATCTCTTGGAAAACATATACCCTAATATATGTGTATTCGTATGTGTCATATAACGCAGGCCTTGAGCAATGGCATATACAAGAGCATCAAACACCGAGTGGTTACCGGACAAGAAGTTGAGAGGTTTTCTGTGGCATATTTCTACTGCCCCTCCTACGATGTAGTGGTCCGAAGCTGCGGTGATGAACCATCAACTTATAGGCAGTTCACTTTGAGGGAGTATAAACTCCAAACTCAAATTGATGTTCAGGAAACTGGTGAGAAAGTAGGGCTCCCAAGATTTCTCCTTTGAAAAACATATCTCAAAGCTGATGGTGATTAAAATTATATATATATATTATCTTTCTACTTGATATATGTAAAAGAGGACAATAATCATAAAATGACAAAGTATGGTATGTGATGTGAACCATTTTTTTCTTTCTTTTATCTTTTATATATAAAGCCAACAGCCCCTTTTGGGGACAGCTTCACCAAATATAACATAAAAAGGCCTATTAAATATTATTTTTTCTATTTTTAAACATGTTCAAAACATTTTAAAAAGCACATAACGCCGGTGATAAAAAGGCCTTTCGCGAGCGTACAATAATGTGATTCAATCAGTTGTTTGTTAAATATTATTTTCTCTATTTTTAATGTAAATTCAATAGAATGTAGATGGAAATTGAAAGACCGATTTTATTATGTGGATTCAGCTACTTTGATTGGTTTATGAGAGATTTCTTCTAGCATTGTCTAATATTATTCATTTAGTCCAAATATTTGACTTTCTTTTTATCATAAAAAAATAAAAATATTGAAGCAATTCACGCATATAAATACATTTAAAATGTGTAAGTCGAGCGTAACACACAGTGATTCAAAAAATACTTTTGCACGCGCGTAAGCACGTGCATGAAGGCTAGTTCATTAATAAATGTCAGCTGTCTTCCTGTTGAATTTGAAGATCTTCTCATCCTTCTCTAACAAAATGAAACTAATTAACTCAATGAATTTTCCTAGAGATAATCTTTTTTATTTTATATTTTATTATCATTCAAAGATCATTTCTAAGAAAATTCATTTGAGTTGAAGACTGTTTAGTCATCCATATGAATCAAAGAAATTATTAGTTCATTATGACGATGATACTTGTTACCGTAAATATCAATTTATTCGACACATATGAATGACCATTACAAAAAAAAAAAAACACATTAATTACCAGACGAAGAAAGTCGTCGGCTAAAATGAAAAATTCGTCGCCATAAATCTTAATCGAGGGACATTTGTTGAAAAAGAGTAATCGGGTAAAACTCGTCGTGCGATGACTTAAACAACGGATGAACAAATTCGTCGATTAAGTGGTGGTTTGACCGACGAAATGCGCTGTTGGGCGATAGTGTGTTTAACCAACGAAATATATATACCTCGTCCACTAGAACATAATTAAATAATGGGGTGAGCTTATCCCGACGGAAGGGTCGTCAAGTAAAAGAAGGTTTTGAGCGATAACAGCTCCATTGGCCAAGTCTATAAAACTTGGAATAAATTTAAAAGAATAAAAAAAATTAATAAATACAAAAATAGAAAGAAAAAAATATATATATGAAATTATAATATTTAAAAAAAATATTGTAAAAATGAAAAATATTATTTACAGCAAAAAAACAATTGTTCGTACAATTATAATATAGAAAAATTAAAAAAAGGAAATAGCAAACTAGTGTGCTAGGGGGTCCCGTGATTGCTGAGGCGGCTCTTAGGACGGCTCCTGATACTGCTGCTAGGGGGCTTCTGGTATGGCTGCACAAGCTCGGGTATCCCAGAAGTTGACTAAGACTGGGATATGGCAAGGAAGTATACAAGCACACTAATTCCTTTTGGCGCACCAGCTCCATATCCATATGCTGAAGTCTGGAATCAGTCTCGATCGATGGAGTAGAGCTGGATGAAGAAGAAGACCCGACTTCCCAAACCCGACATACTCCTAGGTTGCAAACTTTCTTGCCCTTCCTTCGTCCAACCTCGTCCATCAGCATCTGGAGAGACACCTCCGGCTCAAGTGTCAGCTCCTCTATAGGCATGTCTAGATGCTACTAGGAAAGGTTGGAAAGTTACTTGTCCTTCTTCTGTACCATATAAACAAGGGATATCAATATTAAGTTAAACCATAATTATTGTAATGAAAATTATAATTGAAAAATAAGAGTAAATACTTATATAAACTCCGTCTGTGACCTCGTTGCTATAATTCACATGCGTCTCCACCCAAACCACAACTTCTGGGAACTTCTCCCTAGTTTCCCGTCATTCCTCGACCCGGTAAGATAGGGGTCGAGAACTAGAGTGGTGATCTTACAACTTCTTGTCCTGATTTCCTTTATTTGTCGTCGATTTTTTCTGTTTATTACAAAAATATAGTTTAACTTAAGTAAAAAACAATATAAATTAAATTAAATTTGATTACCTGATACTTTTCACTCTCAAAATGAGTACACAGCCACTCCCACATGGCACCTTCTCCACAATCTCCTTGGGTAGTTTTGCCAGCGCTGCCTAAGGCGTTAGACAAGTCTTGTAGTACTTGTGCAGCTCATACTTGGATTCCTTGTACCAGCCGCTTCACTCATGTTTGATGTAATCGACACAACCTTTATCCTGCTTGTTCCAGTCGAAGTTGGATTGCAATTTCTAAAAAAAAAGTAAAATAAAATAAAATAAAAGAAAGGTAGTTTAAAACCACATAAAATAAATTAAAGAAAAAATAATATTAAATTAAGCAAGTAATAGTACACTTACCAAAACCTGGAGGTTTATCTCCTTACAAAACTCACCCCTAGGCTTAATCCATGATTCGGCGTCCATGGGGCATTTGTTGCAGATGAGGGGCACTGCAGTCATGAGTCAACAAACTGTTAACATTGGCACTCGCTCGACGGTGGTTAGGGATGTATACAATCCGAATCCTTTATTGCGTGGTCCGGGTGATTCGGTTCGTCTTCAAGCCCTAACAAATGCCTCGAGCCTTTTACTCCTCAGTACGTAGGGAGGTGTCCTTCCTCCTCCACTCCCTCCACGGGCATCGATTTGGTCTCTACCCTATCCTGGGAAGGGTGGAAAGTGACCAAGGCGGATGGTGGGGGCGGTTAGTGGCGACGACTGCTGTGGAGTTGCCTAGCAGTTTAGGCTACCTGGGCAATGTCACAGACGAAAGCACGTCGGCGGCTGACTCGGTAGTAGTGGCACTGGCGATTGACCGCTCACTCTGAGCAGAGGTGGAAGCAGAACAGCGACCATTGGTGACCATCAGTTCTGATGCATTGGATTCTCACTCTCATTTGGTACTTCATTGTCCTCTTTAAACTTGTGTTACTCAAATTCCCTTTTGGTGATTGGATTTGTAATTTGAAATATGTGAGGGATTGTTGGAATTTTAATTAGGTATTTCAAAATACAACTCCTCATTGATCATGTTAATAACTTAGTATCATTCTTAATGATTTCTTTTAATCTGAGTTTCAATTTTGTTTGCAAACCAAAACTGACGCGTTAAAAGGGTTATAATGTTAGGGCTTTAACTAAATTTTGTCTTTAAAGATGCCACTGATTAACTCATTATTGGGCAATTATATAGTAACATTTTCCTCATTCAATTTGTAATTATATGTCTAATATTTAATTACCCATTATCCTATATAAAATCCCCTTTACGTTGTGGCAAATATATAGACCATTTTTTTTATTTCTTATATTTGTTTTCATCTATTTCTCTTTCTTTAAAATTCTCTCATTTCCTGTCTATGGATTCCTCATTCTTTCAAATGTTGATATGTATTCAATTATTTTGTACCAATTGAGGAATCGAGTTCTTCACTCGACCCAAGTATTGCCAGTGTATGCTTACAAGAATTACATGTTGTTTTAACCTGGAGGGTACGGCACCATAAGGGGTGAAATCTACTCTTAAGTGAAAATTATCAGTTAATGAGAGGAAATATTCATCGATACTTGATTAGAATAAGATTTTAGATATTGCAATCTAACATGTAATTATATGTAATTATATGTCTAATATTTAATATTTACAGGGACCAGTGTAAATTTTGAAAAGCTTTGAGTGAATATTTCCTCTCATTAACTGATAATTTTCCTTCTACAAACTACAAGTATAAATAGTTGTAAGACTATACAATCAACTCTTACAAACTAGCTAATTGATTTGCTATATTAAATGATAGGAAACAAAATACTTGCCCTATAATACTAATTGATAAGAGTATTTTCACATAATCTTTGACTTTCTCAACACTCCTCCTCAAGTTGGTGAGTGAATATTGTGAACACCCAACTTGCCGAGCAAAGAATGAAATATTTCCTTTCCAAGAGCCTTGGTGAACAAGTCGGCTAGTTGAGATATAGATGGAACAAATCCTGTTATAACCTTTCCTTCCATAATCTTATCACAAACAAAAATGGCAATCAATCTCAATATGTATTGTAGGTTCTTGAACTACTAGATTTGCTGTTATTTGAAGAACGGCTTGATTATCGCGAAACAAGATGGTTGGTCCTTTGTCTCGAATTTGTAAATCATGAAAAAGACTTTGTAACCATGTGATTTCACAACAAGCTGCTGCAATTGATCTATATTCAGCTTCGACAGAGGATCAGGATATCATTTTCTGACATTTGCTTTTCCATGAAATGAGACAATTTCCAAGGAAAACACAATAGCTAGTTGTTGAGCATCGTGTAGTAAGACAATCCGCCCAATCTGAATCACAATATGCCTTTAATTTTAATGAATTTTGAGATGGAAACATCATACCTTGCCCCGGTGTACCTTTCAAATACTACAAAATACATAAGGCTGCTTCGTAGTGAGGCTTTCAGGGAGAATGCATGAATCTACTTAATAAATGAATGAAATACATAATATCCGGTCATGTAATGGTAAGATAAATCAAATGGCCAACCAATCGTCGATACTTGGCTAGATCATCTAGTGCATCAACATCATCTAGAAGCAATTTAAGATTTTGCTCCATTGGAAAACTTACATGTTGTGAACACAAAAACCTCGCATCATTCAAAATGTCCAGTAGATCTTTTCATTGCAAAATGAAAATACTGTGCTTTGATTGTGCCACTTCGATTCCCAAAACAATATTTTAAATTACCAAAATCTTTGATACGAAACTTGGTATTTAAAAAATCTTTGAGATCATTAATGGCTACCAAATCATTTCCTTTTATTAAAATGTCATCGACATAAATAAGAAGCACAATAAATGATTTTCCTTTTCGCTTAGTAAAAAGCGAGTAGTCTGCTTTGGACTGAACATACCTGGCGGACTGGATAGATTGTGAAAACTTGAAGAACCATTGTTGGGAAGCTTATTTCAATCCATAAAGTGACTTGTTGAGGCGACAAACTAGATCCTCCCCCTGTCGCCAAAGACCAGGCGGTGGTAGCATATACATTTCCTCCATGATACCACCATAAAGGAAACCGTTATGGACATCAAGCTGATGAAGAGACCATGAGTAAGCAACAAAAAGAGCAAGCAGCAGAAAGTAACAAGTTTGGCCATTGGGGAAAAAGTGTCATGGTAGTCAATACCTTCCAATTGACTGTAACCCTTAGCCACCAAATGAGCTTTGCAGCGCTCAATACTAACATCAAATTTTTGTTGTATCTTATAGACCCATTTACAATTAATAGGCACCTTGTCGAGAGCTAATGAAGACAGGGTCCAAGTGTCGTTGGCTTCAAGAGCTTGAATTTCCTCATGCATGGCTTGTCGCCATTGAGGATGTTTAATAGCTTCTCCATAACTGATAGGTTCCAAAGCGGAAGATAATTGTGCAATGAAAGATTGATATTGAGTTGAGAATCCTTTAGAAGATAAGTGATTGGAAAGGGGATACCTTGTACTAGGGTCGAAGGGCGAAGAAGTAGTTGGGGGTAACGTATTATTGGACCAAATGTAGTCTTGCAGTTTCGCTGGCAGCATTCTAATGCGACTAGAATGGCGCAAAGGTGCTGGAGAAAAATCAGCAGCATTGTTTTGATCATTTGTAGTAGTAAGATCAGCTGTAGTGCACTGATCAATGAAGGCAACAGGGCATTAATCAGGAGGGTCAGTGGAAAGGTCAGCAGGTGCAGCAGGCAGGGTTGACATTTGGAATGGTGTTGGGCTATTAAAGGTGCTAGGTGGAGCAATTATAGACATTGGTGCTGAATTAGGAAAATGATTTGGTTAGGTTGGTGTTTGAGCTAATGGAGGGGGTGTCTGGTTAAGGTTAGGTTTAGTGATAGGGAAAAATATGCTCATGAAACGTGACATCTGGACTTGTAAAAACTTGTTTGGAATTAAGATCATATAATTTATATGCTTATTATCCGAAAAGATAACCAATGAAAACACATTTTCTAGCCCAAACATTAAATTTGTGAGTAGGGTGAAGATTAGTAGCATAAGCTAAACACCCAAAAGTACGTAGATGTTTATATGAAGGACGATGTCCAAATAATTTCTCATGAGGCTAGGCCTGACAATAGTGGGGTAGGAATGCGATTTATAAGGTAAATAGCTATAAGAATACATTCATCCTAAAAGTGCAAAGGTATATAAGATTGAAAATGTAAAGCCCGTGCAGTTTGAAGAATATGTCGATACTTACGTTCCACAACCCCATTTTGTTGAGGAGTGAAAACACAAGAATGTTGAAAAATAATACCCTTATCGCTAAAAAAAGCATGCATGGAAACAAACTCACTCCCATTATCACTTCGAATTGTTTTAATTTGGTGGTGGAATTGTGTTTCAACATAGGCAATAAAAGACTTAAGTAATGTTTGGGTATCTAATTTATGATGCATAAGATAGACCTAAGTACAACGTGTAAAATCATCAACAATAGTAAGGAAATAACGATCACCAGAAATAGATGGAATTTTATGTGGCCCCTAAATGTCACAATGTATAAGTTCAAAAACATGCTTTGTATTAATACGACTTAATCCAAAGGATAATCGAGTTTGTTTTGCCAAAGGGAAAACATCACAAGGTTTATTTGATGAATGAGAAATTTATGGAAAACTCTTAGCTAACAATTGTGGTTGCAAAGATGAAGGGTGGCCAAGTCGGCGGTGCCAAGTAACTGAGAAGACCTTGGGTTGTGAGGTAGTTGGAGATGACGTGCGTCCTTTAGAATCCATCGTATAATAGAGCCCATTACGTTGTCGCCCCCAACCAATCATCTTCCTCGTCTCCAGATCCTATAAAATACAAAAATCAGGATAAAAGGTTATTGAACATCGTAGTGATCGGGTTATCCAACTAATGGAAATTAAATTGATAAAAAACGAAGCTATCACGAGAACATTGTAAAGTGGTATTTTGGATCCAAAATGATAAGTTCCAATAAAATTGATAGGAACTTGAGTCTCATTAGGCAATGCCACCGGCGGCAAAGGCAGATTTGTTATGGTATGAGTCAACATGAGACAAGATACGTGGTCAATGACACCACTATCTATCACCCATTAAGGAGAACTTGTAAGAGACCCACCTGCAACATTGGCCTTAGCATCAACTCCTAATTTTTGACTCATCAGGGATAAAAGTTGTTGAAACCGACCTGCCGTGAGATTAGGCTTTCTGCCATCATTCTTTTCACGTCCTCCAAAACCTTCAGAACCATTTGATTCCCATGAAGGCGATGCTCCGATGGATAGACGCTAAGTTTCCAGCATGTTTCGATGGTGTGGTGGTCACGATCAAATACAAACAGTACATTGGTTTCTTCTTAGAGGATTGGCTTTTCCTGCTATTGTTACCGTGTCCAGTTTGGACAACCTTGGTCGCGGGTTCGATGAGACTTAGCCCAGCAACAAGGCCAACCCTGAGGGGGTGCAAAGTGTGCAACCGCACAAGCTCCCCATTTTTTAGGGCCTTCAAATTCTAAAAACCAGCATATACTTGATAACAATGCTTTCTAGGCAGAGATGTCAAGCACCAATACTTTCATTTACTAGCGCACAAGTTCGAATCCTCACATGCTCATACTTAATAATTTTGATTTTTTTCTTCCAAATATGCTAGGTTTTCTTTCGAGGTATCATTTTGGGCCTTTTTAAGCTTAGACTATCTGTTTCTTTTATTTTTATTTTTTATTTCTTTCATTGTTTATTAAAAAAAAACATTTCTTTGATTATATAACATAACTTTTGCTAATAAACCTGTAATTAGGAATATCATAATAAATTAAAATTCTTAAAAGTCTAAAAATATAATCTTTAAAAGCTCATTTTCTTATATGACATCATTTAATAGAATACATGTAATAATGAGAATCATTTATTCTTTTGGTCACCGTTTAAAAGTTATCTAATTATAATTTTCATCCATTTGAAGACTTTAGTCATCCATACATGAAAAGAAAATTATAATATAACTTTACTCATACCTACTGTTAATTCCAACAAGATCCTCTCCAGATCCTTTTGGTGAGGATCATGGGGATCCG